ATATCAAACTTTAACAATTATACAATACAACTACGTTTGTGAAATATAAACACCATCCCCGTGGGACAGCGGTAAATCTACAGACTTGCAACATTAAACTCCTCGTTCGATTCCCCGCGCTGAACACAAGATATAATCCAATGTGACTTTGCTTTGAAAAAACAAAATGCAAAGACTGCATGTCTCACTCTTCTATGGCATAGATTTGATATTTAAAAGACTTCTAATTTTTTTCATAGGCCTAAATCCAGGCAATGTCGTGTACCAGTTCAACTCTAGGTGTTTTGTTCTATAAAATGACTTTGTCATGGAGACCATCTTCTACTCCATGTGATAGTTGTATCATGTTTTATATTATATTGTGTATATGGAACTGCTCCATGATCGGCACATGGAGCAGAGATACTTCTGGATACAAGAAATCGACTTTTCTGACTGGACAGCTATAGACTGGACGTGAATTTTGATAAGAGTTTTCGCATTCTCAACCAAATTTAGAAGTTGATAGAGCCTAGATGTCCTGTAGAAGTCTTGTTCTTGCTTTGACTCTCATAAAATTTCATCTATAGTTTGTGCGACCTTTTCTTTTTTTGTACTTCAGTCACCCAGACAATCCATTTCAATTTAATGTAAAGCATATTTTATTTGATGCACTTTAATTTACGTTTCATTTTAAGAATTTTTAATTTAAATTATCACATTACGTTGCAACAATTTCCTAAATGCTATTCCAAAGAGACGCCCTCCTGTGCTTTTTTTAACTCTGTAATTGAAATGTTTACTTTTATCTCAGCTTCACATTATGTCTTATCTATTTTATTTCACTCACAACAACTCATAAATCCCCCTTCTACATATTATAGGCCCACGAGTCTTTTGAAGAACAGATAATTATGTAGCTGATTTATCCTTGAAATTCCACATGCATAAGCGGGACTGATAGCCAAAATGGGGGAGGGCAAGAAAAACTGACTTAATAATTGTCAATATCATGTGTATAGTATAGCACACCGAAAAATGGGGAGGCAATTGCCCCTTTCCCCCATAATCCCAATTATGGCCACATGCTTAAATTTGAAAGATAGTTTTCACTGAGCGAAACATCTGATATAATGTAAGGAAATGCCAAAGTAACTTATCATTTATTAATGTGATATCTTGCTTCTACCTTCGAGTTAATTTCTTTAAAAAAAGAAAAAAAAAGGCGTGTTGGATAATACCGAAGTTTAATTGTTTTGTTTGTTGCAGCACAAAGCTTCGCGATAGGCTATCTGCGCTCTGTCCATCGTGGGGAATAGAACGCTGGTGATTAGCATTGTTAGCCTGTAAACTTAGTACTTAGTACTGACCTACCAGTGGACAATATATTGGTTTTTCTTTTGCTGTTGTTATTGTTTGCTTCTTATGAAGCGCACATTACACAATGGGTTAACTGTTCTATGCCAACTGCGAATATCGAAACCCGATTTTTAGCGTTAAAAGCCATTAGACTTATCGCTGAACCGCCAGGAGCATGGGAGTTTAATAAATCGTTAGATTATAACACAGTATAGACTGCATAGAATTACGGGTGTAAACATCAAAATTTATCATGCGTATATTCAAATCTGACTGATAATGTTTAACAGTAGTTGTTCTGTCATCTATTTTTCTGAACATTTCAATCGATATCCAAAGCCTTTATAAATGAATTTGGCATTGATAATTGCTATTCATAAATAAAAAAATATATATATATTCTTAACGGAAGACTTGCGAAAACTAGTTTACAAATTAGTTTCTGGACTCAAGATGCAAATTATATAACACCACCTTTTTACTAGCGGCATCTATGGGTGATTCTTATGGGAAGAGAATAACAAAACAAGATATTGTTACTATAAAATATAACTTTATATAATGTTTTTTTATTGTTATTTAAGTATACGAGCATAATCCCCTGATTAATTAAGTCACAATTCTTTAATAAGGGAAAATGAAAGTTATATTACGTTAATTGATATATCTAAAATATTAATAAACAAATGAAAAGTGGAGAACTACACCTACCGTCGAAATCAACAGTACCGCTTCCATCTGTGTCAATTTCAGCAATCATTTCGTCCAATTCATCTTCTGTCAACTTGTCGTCCAAGGCCCTCAAGATATCCCGGAGATCAGAAACATTAATATAACCTTGTCCTTGTTTGTCGTATAATCGGAAAGCTTCACGAAGCTCTTCTTGCATAGCCTCAGCATCCTCCTCCACTAAGAATCTAGCTGCAAGCGCCATGAATTCTTCGAATTCAAGTTCGCCACTTCCTGTAAGAATGTTATAACAGTTTAGGCTTAGAACTCATTCGTCAGATTCTGGTAATAAAAGTTTCATTCTAGGATATTGTAATATTTAAGTTAGAACTTATTCGTCAGATTCAGGTAATGAAAGTTTCATTCCAGGATATTATAATGTTTGATTTTAAGTCAAGAAAGAGATAAAAAGTACAACTTTATATTCAGAAAGGTTGATTTTCAAAAACATAAAACGTATAACTATAAACAAAAAAAGAGGGTTCTTTATTACTTTTAATCCAAGACAATTAAAATCCTTATGTAAAATATAACTAGCACAAAATCTTTGCACAGCAATACAAGTTCTAACTAAAGTATCCTCCATTATAGAAAACGATTCTCAATTTGTGTTAAAGTGTCTCGATATTGTCCAGTTTGTATTAAAAAACTATGAGTGAAATTAATATTTAAAAAGTCATAATATCAGTGCTAAAGAATAGAGAGAATTTAGAGACGACACAAATACCAACTTACTGTTGAATTTCATTTATAAATTTACCAACATTTATATATTTTTCTGTTACAGACAATAATTCATACTAAAACGATTATAACTGTAAAACTATCCACGAGCTATTTAGAATATACATCAAAGAAACACGAATATATATATACTGTTGTAGGTTTTAGGTACAGTTGTCTCTAATTTTGAACTAATGATTTTCTTTCTAGGAAGTATCATGGTAGAAATATACCATTTTAAATGCATTTGTACTTATTGCGTCTTTTGACAACAATAAGAACTGATAAGAGCGTTTTATATGTATTGTGTTTTTTTTCTTTTTCCTTGTTAAACTGTGTAATTCAGTGAAAAAATGAAAAAATCCACGAATGAAGTAGAGGCCTAATCTCGCTGCTTTCTGCCAATAGCCTAGTTTCGCAGAGAGACTAAACCAAAGAAGTATACAGCATAACCTGAAAAACGTTTTCTATAATCTTACTGCCGTTGACGAGAGTAATCTGTTGCTACTTGAACGAATGACTGATGTATTAATTGTTTGTTTAAACTAGTCTTAGATGTTTGATAGCACTTTTATGAATGTTATAAAGTATTTACAGAAAATTACAAAACTAGAATTTACAAAGAACTTAATTACTTTTGAAATATATTGTATATAGTGATTCTATTTATGTTACATCATCGTTTTTTTTAAACCGTCTTAACATTCCTGATACGAGAAAATGATAATTTTATTTCTAAACACAAACCATCTTGATCGATTTCGCTTATTAAGTCTTTCAAATCCTTTTCTTCAAAGGTCTGGCCTAAGGTTCTAAGAATGGTGGACACCATGTTGGTGTTGATGATACCATTCTTTTCTCTGTCAAACATGTCAAAGGCTTTCCGCAACACTGTATGGAAAAAAGTTTTAACGAAGTTACAAAAATAGAACTGTGTTAAAACAGTTTGTGTAATTATTTTTTTAATGTCAGTTTGCTCAGAATATAATTTTCCACAAAGGTTTTGATATGATTTTATATATTTTATCAGAGAAATCATAGAGTAATATACATCTTTATTATAATGGATTTTGCGATGTATACGTCCAAAACTCGAATTTTGGAAACTACTGCACCGAAATTCACCAATCATAACTGAGTAATATTTTTATAACTAGGCAGTATTTTTAATAGCTGAGCAATAAATAAAACAATTGAAATTTCCACAAAAATGATATGTTTCAGATTTAACCAATAAAAATTACAAACAAAAAGGAGTAAGTTTCAGACTTAACCAATAAAAATTACAAAAAAGGAGTAACTTTCAAATATAAAACAATCAAAAACAAATTGAAAAAAAAATATTTGTTTTTCTTTAATGAAAATCTCATGAGTGTTGCAACAGGAAAGTAAAGTACTTTCATTGATAACTGCATCTACAAAGAAATACTCCAATAAAATCAACTCTTGGATGTAATGCTGTGATGATAGCTTATTTTTAAACTAAAATTTCAATAAAATTCTTTTTCTGATGGATGGTGAACATTATTCAATGTCAAGTATGAGTACTTTGTTGTAGAACTGTCAGACAGTTCCAGAAAAGGCCACAGGAACTAGCAGTTATTCCTGCCTAGAGGGTGGGTATTTCTGCTAGTTGACATACATAATAACATACATTCCTTCAAAATCTTCAGAAATCCGACTGTTAGTGACACCATCAAACTTGCTTCTTCAAGACATCAAACAAACTTGCCGTGTTCCATAGTTTGTTACACAGACTTATCACTGTACCCTTGTCATCTGAAGATTATGAAACTAAATTAAAAACTATAAAACAAATTGCTGTTAACAATGGTTATACAACAAAGTTAATTAACACATTGTTGTTTAAAAAGTTGAAGGCCATAAATTTAAAATCAATATACCCACATACTGTACCAAATGACAAGAAAAAGAAATAGTTTAAGATGAGCTACATTGGAAAACCTTTTCACAAAATACATAACACACTGAACTAAGAAATCTACAGACCATCCTTATACTGTAAAAACAACCTAGGAAAAATGTTGTGTGCAACAACAAAGGCAGAATATAATAAAAGTACACCAACAGTGGTGTTTATCAATTAATGTGTCAAGACTGCGATAGTGTATATAGAGGTCAAACAGGATGTTCCATAGAAAGGAAAATTAAAGAACATTCTAGAAGCTGGAAGTTAAGGAAAATGAATTCAATCTTTACATCCCACCATATTGAAGTGAAACACCAATTTGATCCAGAGAAAGCTAAAAAACTAGATAATCTGAAAATTTTAGAAGAATATATAGAAGTGTAGAAACAAATCCAGAAAAAGTTCTAAACAACTAAACCAACTTAGCTCCTCCCCACTTCTTACTCCTCTTGTCTCTATGTGAAAGTCAAGGTCACTTCCAGTTCTTTGTTTAAACATATAT